ATGCCTCCCTGTACTCCTGAGCAAACTCAACCGCCCATATGCCGGTGCCGGTTCCAATATCGAGGACACGTTTGGGCCGCGTGAGGGGTGCAAAATGCAGTTTTCCGTCCATCATTATCTTGAATGAATGGTGTTGCAGATCTGGCAGCTTCTCTAAGCATGGGCAATCGTAACAAGTTGAGCGAGACACACACATACCGAGCCTGTCTTGCTCCGACTCATCGTTGGGGAGGAGATATTTCCCAGAGTGAAACGCATGATACGTCCGCCCGTTCTCCGTCAAGAAACGGTAGATGCTCGACCGCACCGAGGTCGATGAATCCCTTCGCACATCAGTCTCTGATATTTTTGACAAAGAACACACTGAGTTCTTGCCAACGGCACTGACCGAAAAGAGATGCCAATACCCAATCCTCCTCGCCATTCTTCATAATGCCGACCAATCGTTAGAACCTTCGATGAGTCGGTCGGTTGATGCAAAGCAGGGGCAACGCACACTAGAGTTGTCGGTCGCGACTTCTAATAAACTAGCCGGCAACTCTTCGGCCACCACACTGGCATCGTGTGCTCCATCACTTCTCGTCTCCGACTCCACAGGTGTGTCACTCATGCTGAAGAACACTTCACTTAGACTGAGAGCGTCTGTCTGACGCAAATTCAATTGGCAGCTCTGCTATGCATGAGTGGGTCGTGATACCCGGAGCTGTCGATTGTCGATCTGGCTGGGATTGAGTGTCACATTCCTCTATCCTTGTTGTTGTGCATGGCGGAACAGTCGGCAATAAGTACACGATTGGCCGCTGACTTGGCGTCGCGGACTCCATTCCGTTTATGGCGATCCACTCCGGGTATTAACCCACCACCACCAACTCGGACTGGGGAAAGCGGTAGGTTGCAGGGTAGTAACCCGAGTTTTGGCAGATTTTCACAATCCAGCCCACCCCTACCAAGCCATCACAGGGTTCCCTATCAAGAGAGGGAAAAGAACGACCCTCAGCGATCTGTATTGGAACTAAATAGTGACTAATGGGTATCGATGCTTTCTCCAAGACGTAAACTATCCCTGACGTTTGTAAAGTAGGTAGGCACATTCCTTCGAGGCGTCGGTGTCAACGCTAATATCTGTTTATAATCTTTGGGTTGTCAAGCAGTTGACCTTCGAAGAGGGGCTGCATGAAGCTGTCTTCCGGAAGCGGCGTCACCTCGATTTCACCCCTGAGAATTTCGACGGCTGAAATTCCGGGGAGGATGAGCATAAGTATCGACAGCACTTGTCCGAAGCTCCAGCTCTTCTCGCCCTGATCGCCCAATGCGACATCGGGGTTGCCAAAGGCTTGTGAGAGAAGGAGTACTCGGATAGTCGCCCCTGATTGTGCTGATGTAAGCATGGCATCTGTGAACATAGTGTCTGCAGCCTCTGTCTCGAGGGCCCACCTACCTATCGCAATGCTGGCCATGAGAATCATGCCCACCAGCTGGATGATCTTGTAGAACCTTTGCTCGCGGCTGTGGAGGTACCATGTCGCCAGGCCAAAAACCACACAGTTACCGGCAATCGTAATGATGGTCCCGATGTAGTCGAGAAAGCTGCCGACCCCGGAGCTGTTCGAGTCTGGCAGCGTCCAGACGCAGCCGATGGGCAGCGTGTTGGGCAGCCCCTTGATCTTGCTCTGCAGCACAAACACGCCGTACACGCATGACAGCACGAGGTTGACAAACATGAGGAACTGCCGCAGCCAGCGGAGCACCCAGTCCCTTCGGAAATCGCGGACGAGGGTCAGGAGTGTTGCATTGTGTGTTGCCATCGACAGCAGCGACAGCATCCAGATGATGAAGAAGTGGTACGGGACGAGCGTGTCTACCTTAGCCAGCCCCACGCTCTGGATCCCGATGCCCACTATGATCTGCTGGTCCGAGTAGCCGTTGATGAGCTTCCGCCGGATTGTGCTCGGTTTGGTGGATTGCCGAAATTCCTGCAGCACCAGGGTGGCGCTCATTACCAGCGCCAGCCCTGCCGTGACGATGAATGAGAGTAGGACCTGAAGCAGTCGCTGTGAGCTTTGATGTACTAATGAAGCTGCCCTGGTTGTGTCCACATGCTGTACATTCGTCCCCACGCATTGCGACTTACCCCTTCACCAGCGATACCAGCATCGCTGGCGACTTCCTTGGGAACGATCGTGCAGTTTGGAGTCCCAAACATGTTGTCGATAACCTTCAAGGAATCAACATTCGGAATACAGAGGTCGACAATAATGGCCCTCGCGGGCCGGTTTCAGTGATCGAAATGAAAGATATGGATGTTAGTTGCAACTGCAATCTGCTGATGTGCTGCAAGAAGCGACCTTTTTATGACGTCGCAAAGTACGTAAGGTGCCTCACCAGGGAAGGAGCGAAACGTGAAACGAGCGTGGATCTCCAGGACAGGGCCTTGTCTTCAAGTTTAAGATCGCCTCACAGACTCACGGTCGAGTGGCCCGCATTGCTTCCCCACGGGCTTGGGGCTGTGCCGTGGGCGCCTACGGGCTGGTGAATCCAAAGCAAAGAATCAAGCATTTTCAATGCAAGCCATCGCAAGAGTTTGACGCCCACAAAGCAGGCAGACAAAAAAAAGAGAGAGTTCATTGAAATGAGAAATGCGCTTTCTTTGTTAGTTTTGCTGAAGAGCTCCGAAGCAAGTGCGTGCGCAGATCCATGCAATTATGACCGTTACACTAGGTCTCATCTAATGTTTCCGCACGACACTTACAAAAGCAGCGAATGGGTTGGATCTTCACATGAGTCTTTGGCGAGGCGGTCTTTACATATATTCTTTTCATAATTACACCATCTATCTGCAATATGGCCATTCATTCAATGATAACCGAGAAGTTGCTTGGCCATTCCCAAACGAATAACATATCTCAGTATGAGCTCTAGTACCACGCCCGGCCTCGAACAGCAGAGCTGGCCGCGGGGACAGTGAAGTCGACGCACGACTCATATGTTTGGCCTGCACCAAGCCAGTACCACTGAATGACCTGCAAGAAGATGTTAGCTATTGCTCACTGCTTCACCCGAAGAAATGAGAGGGGGCATGGAGCAAACATACGCAAATGCCAGCCTCGGTGCATTTACCACCCAACTCCGGCACCTTGACGCTGAACTTGGTCTGGTTGGCAGGCGGGTGGTTGGTCGCGGCGTAGTTGTCGGGCCAGGCAATCAAGGGGGCGCCGATGACGGTGTTGGTGGTGGTATCCACAACGCTGACGTTGGCGTAGCCCTTGTGCGGTATCCGAATGTAAACCTCCATGTCAATCACGTCGCCGGGCTTATACTTTTGCACGTTGGCCTTGTTGTCGGCGAACTGGTAGCCCCTGCACATCCACAGATTGCACTTCTTGGCGTCGTATCCGTCCGTCAGCCCCTTTGGATTGGCTCGCAGCAGAGCTTCCGGGTAGGAGGTGTTGTCGGCCTTGTAGAAGTTTACCATGGTCTTTCCGCAAACGGCAGCAGTTGCATCGCCTGGTTCGCGCGTCGCGGGCTTCAGGACCAGGCCGTGAGCCGACGCCTGCATGGCGAGGCTGAGAACAGTGGCTACCGCAGACAGATACATGATTCAGGATCGAAAGGGCGCAAAGTCGCTGCCGAGTATATTTTTTGGGGATGGTTAAACTAGGGCTGGAGATAGCTTAAATAACTCGAAGTTTCTCAACCAGCACCCGGCACACGGCAGTCGTAGACCACTACTGACTTTTCACACGGCATCCTGGCAACCGACCGTCGTTTTTGCCTAATACGACCATTTCGGTCGTGCGCGGCCGCGCAGCCAGTAAGAAACATGCCTTTAAAGAAGGATTGATTTATTTGAAGGTTGAGTTTATTGCGCATTTCGGCAGACCCCTATTAAGCATGACCACCCGCCCATAAACCGCCGCTGCTACCCTGGGCTTCAGAGAGTTACCGGTGCTGACGGATGGCAGCCGTCCGTCCCAAACATAGAAGCTTTTTATAGAGCTTCTTTACCTTCCGTCATTCGCCATCTGGTATCTACCTTAACTTATGAAGTGAGCTCCAAGTTGTACAGAGGTACCTGGGCACTCAGTCATTGGTGCAAGGCATCATTTACTTGCGCAGACGAAGAGTCAAGCAACCAAAAGAACGCTTGACAGTTCTACGTTCCATATCTAATTATTGCATCCTCTGTTTGTATAACTCCTAGGATCTCATTGATTCTGCATTTTGGACTATTTAGTCCTTTCCGAGTCTTTGGGATAGTATCGAATGGAGCTGAACATGACCTGAACAAGCTACGTGCCTCATCAGTTTCATATTAAATGAGCATCTCAACGTCAGTGCCCTGAATATCACAGTCGTTGAATCAGTAGCATCCTCCTTATTAGCACGATCTTGAGTATATAGCTCCTAGTGATATCACGGCAGTAGCAGCGCAACCTGGTCTCGCGGTTGCAATACTGTCTATTACGGAGGTGTACAGTGCAGTCCGGGAAGAATAAGAGCAACTTCGCTCACTTATATCCTGTTGAATGGAGCCGCGGCTCATTAGTGTAGCTGCCGATTGCCTCTGTGACAGATACAGGAGCCTTTTGATTTCTCTCTCAGAAGAGGCACGCTAAAGCGGTGATCTTGAGAGGATGGGACTTCGATAAGGACTTGGCTATTAGTTGAAGAACTTTACTTGCAGTGTTGGCAATGCCTTAGGAAATCCGTTGACTTCTCTTATATAAGTGTCGAGGACAAGTGAAGCTTAGGTACGATAATTTATATATATGGTACGTTGTTTCCGTCGTCTCAGGGACTCTCTCCAACATATACTATTCCAGACGATGGGATTAAGGTATGCGTAGCTATACTACAGAAGTTACGTCAATAAGTAGTAAAACGCACACATTCGCGGGGCCATCTGGATTTGAACAGGCGCCCCTTCGAAGAGTGGGGAGCTGAACGCCAAAATGCAAAAAGCTGAATATATTGTGTTTCCGTGAGAGGAAACTAACCCATGACAAGAGTGGGATTCGAACCCACGCCCTTTCGGACCGCGATATTCAGGGGAACCTGAACACGGCGCCTTAGACCGCTCGGCCATCTTGCCTTGTTGATGGAAAACAATTTTTTAGAAACTCCAATAACATGTTGGCAATTTTCTCGCTTTATACATAACAGCGATGCAGCTCTTGAACATCAACATCTCACCGTCCTTGCATTTGAGGCATATCAGTAAGTTTCAGCCGGGAGAGCTGCTCAAGCGTATATAGTATCCACCTGTTCGTTCGTTTGTTCCTTAAGCTACATGTGCCATATCAAAGAATGGGTCTTTTGCTGTTTCACACGCCTGCCTTCGTTGCCCTGCCAGGCGCATCTACCATAACCAAACTAGAAATTTTCTGCCCTTCTATCTTTCTCTGGGAGACAATCAGTCACAGAGACCAATTTCACCTTTAGAGTGTGGCAGGCTTCGCGCTCGATGCCTTCTGGACGAGAGCAGTGAAGTTGGCAATCTTGCAGCTGCTGAGGTCGACCGAGAACTTTGCCTTAGTCTGGTGGATGCTGAAGCGGCTGGCGTTATTGGCGGGCTCCGACGGCGCCTGCGCGGACTGGGCATAGGCGAGCGAGACGGCGGTGGCAGCCGGGTCAAGCTTTGTAGTACCCCAAGAGCTGACCCCCTTGGCGAGCGCATTGAGCGTCCAATGGGTGCTGTTCGATGTGGAACCGGGGAGGACGGTGTAGGTAGCGTCTGGGTATGCAGTAGGGTAGGTGTGGCTTGTCGCCTTACGACTGGAAACCACCGAGCTACCGGCCGGGTTTGCCCATGCCACGGTCAGGGGGTTGTTGGCCATGACGCCACCCCACGCAATGCCGGCCCAACCAACTGCCTTGGGAGCGACAACCTGCAGCAGGATGTCGAATGATCCCGCGGTGGCGGTGTCGGGGATGGCGATGCGGAAAGCGATGTTCTCTGGGCTGGTATACTCGGTGTAGCAGATGCCCGTGGAGGCGTCGCAGTATTTGGCAGCCGCCGAAGACTCGAGGGCCTCAGGGGCTGGCGCGCTGAGGGCAGGTTTGCCCAGGGCTAGCAGGACTGCTGCGATCTTGACAAGACCCATCGTTGTGGAGTGCGTGGAAGACAGGGTGGAAGTTGCCAAGCGCGGGAAAAGAGGAATGAAGAGGCTTGGATGCGGTTGGAAGAGCGAGGGCCAGATCGACGGTGGGCGGTATGTGGGTTGATGGCCCGAGGATATATAAACAGAAACCAGACGCACAATAAACATGACCGTGGCTGCGCTTTATCCGTGAAAGGTGCCTGCCGGCTGTTTGTCCAGACGGGAGTTCTGCGCGTCCATTTCTGCTGGCGGCGTTACTATCTTCGGAAAGCGGAACGGCTGAAGGGCGTCGATACTGCTGGCGGGCTGTCTTAATTGACGGCTTTTGAGTCGATGACACTGATAAGGCAGTCAGCACCCATGGCGCTCAGGCAAGCGCAATGTTCATAGGCGAGGATATGGACGCGATCTTCAACGCAGCTTCCTGTTCTCTCTCCCTGTTCGCACCTGCCGAGTCCATCGTTCTGAACATGAACATCGTCACGCTTTTACAAGTGATCTCCAGGTGCAAGCGGGTCATGTTCATCTGCAGTACACACGTAATTTGAGTACCCAAGATGGTCGGTTGTTCCTGCAGAGCTCCCATAACCGAGCCCGACAACAGCGAGATGGGGGCAGGTTTCGGGACCGCAAGCACTCAATCAACCGGCACTAATAGATGTGATTGAAAATCGAGGGCACTTGATTGGTTTTAGCAGACAGAACTGCCAGCAATCTGATTCTCAAACAATCAGATTTGAGTCGGATGTCCGAGAGCATGGGGCAGAAAATGCCCGCTGATTTAGCCTAGGGCACCGAGATATGCCTCCAGAGTATATGTCAAGCTTCACTAAATCCCTAATCTCTCGCCGACGTTAATTAGGACTTTCGTTAGACCCCGCTTCTCGGATACGTTTGCGCGGGCTCTTGCCCCTTGCATGAAATGATCGTACTCACGATGATCCCGCCCGATTGGTCGGTGTTCTCTTATTTTATGCCCACCCATATATTAACCAAGAACTGGCCTAGACCATCCACGTGCTTGGGGGAGTTGGTTTGGCATTCTACCTAATGTAAGTGCCTTTGTATTCGACTTTAGTTGACAGTGTCATACGTCTATACTCCTGGAAAGTGGCTTACCGCACCCGCAAGGTTCTCTCCAGGAGGCTGATTGTTGTACATACGTGTATCGTACATATGCTGTGGGCGTTCAATGGAAACTTGAGGTTTGTGTTGTACTTGATCATGAGACTATATAAGGTAACTAGGTAGCCTATCAACAAAGCGGCATAGCCTTGAGCGAACCAGAACTATCTTAGTTTCTCATGCTACGAAGGGACGACTCACAATTCAGGCCTATCCCGCCAATTAGGTACGTAACTTGAGCGAGACGTCATGAAGACAAGCACACACCTTTTTACGTTCGGTTACTTCGTTCTTTAAACGATTCAATGACATCTGAGCGGCGATCAATTCAGCTCAAGGGCTCTTCCTCTGGCAATCCGTGTGCGGGGTCTAGCCCCTGAAAGCAGCCAACCCCACCTTCGGGAAAACACTTTGCCTGCGAAAGGTAAAGTTAACCCCGCAGCCGGGGCATAAGCCGAATTATTTGCTGTTTGAGACTGTCGTTAGCTCTCCGACGTCACTCCGAGGTCTTGGTAGCATTCCATTGTTCTTCCGCTGTATTCCGATGCCCATGATGTTTGCAGTCGACTTCTTTCTTTTGTTTCGGTGGTCAATGCCATCTAGATCCTTCTTTGGGGATCCAATTGACATCTACAGTCGCCCAGCTGGCTGAAACCTCAAAGCTAGGATCGCATCGCTTGATACTGTTTGTTTCTTCTTCAGGGCAGACGACGGAGAGATGGCACCAGGAATGCTGTACGTGACGATGCAGCCCGAGCCGGGGCTGTCTCTGGACCAGTTTCACGAGTGGTATAACAACGAGCACGGCCCGACGCGGCTGCGGCTACCGCAGATATTCCTCAACGGCCTGCGCTACCGCGCTACGGACGGCCTACAACCTGAGTTCCTCGCGGCCTACGACGTCACACATATGTCGCACCTTGAGACCCCGACTTACACCGACCTCCGGGCGAACCGATCGCAGCGCGAGGCCGAGACGATCGGACAAGTCGACGTGAAGCGGTATTTCTTCGACGAAATCTCAGCGCACTCGGCTTCTCCCACGAACCGCCCTGCGCGGATCGAGCACTACACAGACGACGAAGCCGAGGGCACTGTGTTGGTATCTGTCGAGCTCTCGCTCAAGTCGGACACCCCCGAAGCCGAAGAGGCCGCGGAAAAGTGGTACACGGAGGAGCACATCCCTATGCTGCGCAAGATTCCAGGGTGGCTGCGCACGCGCATCCTGAGGACCTCGTCACTCGAGGAATCCTCAGAGAAGAAGATTGTGGCTCTGCACGACTATGCGAAGGACAACGGGCTGGAGGGGCCAGAACACAAAGCTGCCATGGCCAGCACCTCGTACCGCGACGAGGTCTGGGGAAAGTATGTGGCCAACAAGACCAGGCGCCAATACAAGCTGTTCTACGTCTTTGGCCCCGCCCCGCGCGATCTGTCGTCTCTGTCCCGTCTGCCGGCCTCCGCAGCGTTTACCTCGTCAGACAGCAAGACGAGCACGACGCCCGGCTCTTCAGCAGTGATACGCTCGTTTGTGACTGGCACTCAGGATGGCGTGGAGATTCCATACCGCCTCGAGGGAAATCCGGCACCGGGCGCGCCAACCGTGGCTTTCTGCAACTCGCTTCTGACGTCCTTAGAGATGTGGGATGAGTTTATCAAGATACTGAAGGCGAAGCGCCCCGATTTGCGCATCTTGCGGTACGACACACGTGGTCGGCATGCCATCCCGTCCTCCGCTGAGCCGGTGCCGGCAACACTGGACCTGCTCGCCGACGACCTGGCTGAAGTACTTGCGGCCCTGCGCATCCCGAAGCTCCATGCGCTGATTGGTGTGTCGATGGGCGGCGCGACTACTCTCAAGTTTGCGCTGAAGTATCCGCAGAAGCTCAGCAAGTTTATAGCATGCGACTTCAACGTGGCCAGCAGCGAGGCCAACACCAAGGCATGGAAGGAGCGGATCGCACTTGCGGAGGAGGACATAGGAAAACTGGCCGGGCTTACTGTTGAGCGCTGGTTCCATCCGCACACAATGACGGACAAGAAGGCCGTCGCGCAGTGGATGACGGACATGGTCGCGGCCAACAACGTGCAAGGGTTCAAGTTCAGCTGCCAGGCGCTGTGGGACTACAACATGAGAGACGAGATGAAGGAGTGTTGTGTTCCTGGCCTGTTTGTTGTGGGAGAAGGAGACGGTAAAGGGGCGCTGGTCAAGGCCATGGATGGATTCAAGCACTTACTGGGCAAAGACGGCGCAGAGCTCAAAGTCGTGCCTATGGCAGGGCATTTGCCCATGTCTGAAAGTCCAGAAGCGTTCTGGGAGGCGGTGGACGCGTTTCTATGAGCATCGATCAATCCATGTAACTATTCTGCGTAAGCCCGGCGAATGAAACGCCTCAAGACATTATTTTGACTGCAAACTCAAATAGCGATAGATGGGTCAGAACTCGTGAAGCAACCTTTTTCTACATGCGAGGAATCAACACAGAACCATAGCCCTAGCATTCGTTTCTCAGTAACTCGTACTCTTCGTCCATTTTTGGCCCTTATTCCCCTCGAGCAAGTCTAGCTCCCGCAACAGCGCGGAAGCAGCAACAATTTTGAAGCTTCTGACGTTGCGGGCCGCAGTACGGTAGCTCCAATACTGCCCGCCCATGTCCTGGTTGAACTCCGAGAGACAAGCCACGTTTACGCACGCAAGACATAGCTCCAGAGTATCCAGGTCTGTGGTGACACCACTGGGTGGTGTTACGGGGTTACGCATCTGCTGCAGGATCCAAGTGGTGATGCGCTCAAACTCATCCCTGATCTTGACCGATCGATCCCGCTGTCGGCTCGTCTGCACGCCCTTCCTGTTCAGGATGAAGCC